GCTACAACTTAAAAACAGCCCGGATGGTTCTTTGCAGACTTTGACGTGAAAAACTCAATGGACAATTGCGAGCTCCTCCGGAATGCACAATGCAAGCAACAAGCATCATTCGGTCAAGGAGTCAAGAGGCTCTTCTCGGCGTCCTGAGCGCCTATGCGTCATGTGGTCAACGCCACGGTGCGTTCACAACATGAGTTGAAACAGTAGTTCAATGTAAGACCGTTCCTTGGGCTATGCCACAATTATTTGACCATGGCCACGCAAAACATATGAACCATCGCAAGAAAATTTTATCCGTGAAACAGCAACTGCAACTTTGCACACGACTCAGCACACAACATACACAAACAGTTGCAAAAGAATTGTATCCATGAACCAAATGTGCACACGACTCATCATTTTGCCATCAAACAGGCTGTGGATGCAATCCGGGCTATGTACAAGGTACTACCAGCATCATGCCGCACAATGTTCCGGTTCCTGGTTTGTGCCACAATCCTTTGCAGAAAAGTCGACGTGCCAGCGCAGGAAACAAAGTCCGCCCATTACCAGAACAATGTTCCGCGCCAAGAGCCAAAGTGCAGTTGAGAAAGCGCCGTGCTGCAAACAATGATCGTTTTGGCTATGCGTGGTCCGCAGGTGCGCTGGGCAATCACAGGAGTTCTCTATTCTATTTCAAAGAAGTGTAGTGCAACGCAATGCAGCACTACTCCTTTGTTCTAAGGATTTCGTACTAAGCCACCGCGGTCAAAAGGTTTGCAAGTTGCACTTGGCAAACATCTCCTAGCGCAAAGTGAGAATAACAATGCGATACAATACAGACCCTCGCATCACACCCGGGTCAGTCTTCCACTTTTGGCGGTAGAACACACAGCAAGTCGTCATGCATAGCCCAACGATGCATCAGAGAGATGCGTGTACATAAGCAAGGCCCGTCAGCCCTGTACACAACAGGGACCAAGCGCACACGCACTTCAAGTGACTACCGTCGATACTGCCACGAGCTTATCCAGGAACCAATGTGCAACCAAGGAGAAACAAAGTAGCATAATGACCGATACCATAAGGACACGAAGATCATGAGGAAACAACAGCATAAACCCCCGGATCGAAAGCTCGGGCGGGAGGGAGGGAGCTTTCGACTCCACTCTCCGATGTTCGAACCGCTGGTGGCTTAGTATGGAAACATATAGTTCGCAAGCATCAAGCGGAAGCTAGAGCGAAATCTTAAAACATGTTTGAGCTAGCACAAAAACGTTCTAAGGATTTCGTACTAAGCCACCGCGGGCAAAAGGTTTGCAAGTTGCACTTGGGAAACATCTCCTATCGCAAAGCGAGACCAAATAGAACAACACAGTATACTCAGGATATAACAATGCGATACAATACAGACCCTCGCATCACACCCGGATCAGTCTTCCACTTTTGGCGGTAGAACACACAGCAAGTCGTCATGCATAGCCCAACGATGATCAGAGAGATGTGTGTACATAAGCAAGGCCCAACAAACAACTGCCAAAAGAGGAAGACTGGATCGCACTCACTACCCAAGACCCACAAGTGAGCCAGGCTACATGTTTTGGCAAACGTGGCAAGAGTGCCACCCACCTACGCCCGCGAGGCTCAGAAGCACAAACGAAGTGCAAGGCGGCATTGGCACCGCAAACCATGCCATCGTGTGCAGGGACTTGCGTGATGCATCGCGCAGCGGAAAATGGAAGGCACGCGCACCACCAGGGGAAGGCAAGGCCGACCGCGCACCGATGGGGTCCAACCAGCCGCACGAGCCCACAGCACCAGTTTCAAGCTTGCGTCCGCAGTGGCGGCTGCCACAACAAAGAAGCCTCCGGCGGGAAATCCCGCACATCCGGCACATCCTTTGCACTTTGCACCGTCCCACAAGAGTGGCATGGAACAGTCCACACGATAACTAAGCTGGAAGCGATCTGGCAGCACCGAGCAGCCGTCCCACCTACTAAGCATGTCTGCGTCATCGTTATGACAGCCACTCACATGCGTAGCGTCAAGCGTAATGGCGGACTGCCATGCGACCGTAGCCAAGCGCTGGACGAAACGTGCCAAAGGTTGTACCGTAGTGAACATTTTATTACAAGCTGCCTCAGTGCCAGAATTATCTGTAAAAGCAGGAAGCTGTAAACGCATACGGCCCCCGACGCATGCAGAGGCAAACAGGCGCACGAGGCCCACCTGAGCCAAAGTCTCATAAGACACAATGTCCAGATTTGCATCCGAGTCCACCGGCACACTGCGGTCAAGGAAATCCTGCACTGTAAGTCGTTCCGAGAACCACAAGCAATCTTGACCGGGGAACTTAACCCAACCGCCTATGCCTATGGAAACCCCGCTTGATAATGTTAGCTTTACCAATGGCCACCCGGGCCCACCTCGCACGCGCCGCCTCAAGAGAAGGCATTTCCTCAACGTACCCCGCAGCCAACTCGGCCTCCATCAATTCTTCAAGCAAATCAGGATCCTCCTCGGCACCAGGCCAATGCCCCGAACAGATTTTAAAATCCTCGTCCGAAACATCTTGATGTGACACCCCGAGTGGGATGAAGCAGTTACTCGGCTTGATATCGCCGTCCACACCAATGGGAACGCCCTCTTTCAAATCATCCCACAAGTGAACGTCGCGGTCCTTCAGGGCCTGAGCGAGCAAATGCAGGGCCTCAAGACTATGTGTTCTCACGCCTTGAGCCGAACCTTCGAGCCTTGAGGGTTAAGGATGGGTTTTTAAGGGAAATCAAAAGTCGCTGGGAAAAACGCTGGCTTCCAATCATATCCACAATCGCGAAAGCTCCAAGCAAAAGCTCAAGTGCAGTCAAATGGAATCAGCAATCGTTCAATCTCCAATCACAGCGCTCCAGAATGTGAAGTTGCCGAAGATGCCGGATGTTTTCAATCGGTGCGTCGAACTGATGCCTGTCTCTCGAAGCGATGCGCCACATGTTCACATGACGGTCGCAGTTGCCTCGAGACCCCCCCCGAAGGAAGGCAGCCAGTCCGACATGTGAAAGATCACCACGGTGTTTTGCTCGATTCTTTCTCCCGGCGAGACATCGCCGACTCGCACCACATCAAGGCAGAACCAACGGGCCTTAGACGGGTCCGCCCCATTCTGAAGTGAGTAGCCCCCGAGCACCACCAAGCCATTGGCACATTTTGCATCCGTCCTGAAGCTCTCCCGAGGCGCCCGCCAATCCTGGAGCACACTGTGAAGTCCCCTGGAGTCCGCAAGCTGCTCCCTGCGACACGAAGACCATCTCCGGGATCCTCGCCACAGTCCCCTTCTGCAAGACGGCGTCAAAGGCGTACAGTGGTGCAAGAAAAGGCTTGACCCACGTCAACACTCTGGAAACAAAGTTGAGCCGCCCAAGGAATTCGGCAAAACGCCGACCCGTGATGAACCAGTTGTTCGCCTCGGCGTTGTCAATCCAATCAAGAACCCAGCGCGTCCTCTTGAGCGAAATCCCAGCGGCACTCTCCCGGTACGAAAGCCAGTAGCCCACGAACTCGCACTCAACACCACCGTGAAACTTCCGGTAAGAAAACGGCGTGCCCAGCACCTCGTAAGCAGCAAGAATCATCCAGAGCACCACGTATTTGTCGGGACCAGTCACCACGATATGAAGGTCATCAACGTACACAATCTGCACATTCCAGAGCCGTCCCATCACTCTCAAGACCCAGCGTCCGATGCATCCGAACAATCTGGCCCAAAGGATCGCAGCTGAACAAACTCCGAAAGTTCCTACGCAATTAAGCCAAATCACTTTGGATGCCGACGAAGTCCGGCAGCCCAACAAGGGCCAGTCGCGTCGTCGTATTTTGGACCTCCTGTGTGCCTTAGCAATGTCCGCCGCAATGGAGAAGGGGACACCAAAATCCTGCCGCACCCTGGACAGGGTCTCGATGATTTCTGCAGTTCAAATACGAAACGCATTTTGCATTCCCCCCAAAAGCATAGCACAAAAGTTCCAGTAGCGTGCTCACAGGAAATCGGTATATACCAAAAACAATCTCGAAACGCATATGTATCAAAGTGTAATCAAAAGTGATTCCAATCCAATATAGAATACATCACATACCGAACTCGCTCCACTCGCCCTATGTTTTGTGCAGTGGCGGAAATCGCAGATGTAAGATCTGAAAGCATCTGGAATCTCGGATTAATCAAGGCCCCCATTGGGACCCAGATAAACCAGGAAACACCGCCTGGAGGGACTTTGTCCCCGAAGAAAAACGCCAGCGAATGGTCCAGAGACATTCGTCCAGAATCGACCGCAACGACGTGTGGTCCGCGGAAGACATAACACTAACTGTACCTATACGCAAACGCAGCTGCAAGATGCATATTGAGAGCCGGCTCCCAAAATAGGGAGTGGAGGGTGGGCAAATCAAAAACGCAACAGCTCTCTCGTGAGCCGGCTTCGCTGCGGCATCCGATAACGATCCGAAAAAGGGCTCCAAGAAAGCATGACATGCCGCATGCAAAAAAGGAGGGAATACAAAATCGCACCAAGCCCGCAGGCAAAAGCAAAATGGTTTGATATTTAAACAGGATCGAGTAAACACGATAACCGTTCAAATACGAAACGCATTTTGCATTCCCCCCAAAAGCATAGCACAAAAGTTCCAGTAGCGTGCTCACAGGAAATCGGTATATACCAAAAACAATCTCGAAACGCATATGTATCAAAGTGTAATCAAAAGTGATTCCAATCCAATATAGAATACATCACATACCGAACTCGCTCCACTCGCCCTATGTTTTGTGCAGTGGCGGAAATCGCAGATGTAAGATCTGAAAGCATCTGGAATCTCGGATTAATCAAGGCCCAAACCGCAACTGCCACAGCACAGAAACATAGGTGGAGGAATCGCCATGCACGCCCCACAATTAAGTGAGACGAACACCTATGGAAAAGAGGGTGCAAGCATTCAGATTGCAGGAATCGTTCAGGCGCTCTGATCAGAGCTCAGCGCGGCAGCTTCCAAAGCAGCTTAGCATCGGCTGGGAAAAGCCGCACATCATGACGTAGATCGAAGAAATCCGCGACTGTGAAGCGGTATCTGAAGTCGGGATTCCATGGTGCAGGCAAAGGGCTGACACCATCCCACCTGGACAGGAAATCTGCGTCAATGTTACGTTCACCCGCGATGTGTTGCACATCCAGACTGATCCCCAAGCGAGTGCTTATCATCGCGACCAGTTGTGTAAAGAAACAAAGAGGCGACTTCGTCGTCAGAAGCTTCGCACATATAGACTCCGCACCAGAATTGTCGCAGAACGATGGTACGCAAATTCTCATACGCCCGCCTGGGCACAGGTGCCCAAAGAGAAGCATGAGGCCCACTTGAGCCAATGTTTCCCAGCACGAGATGTCCTTCTGTGATTCAGAATGCAGCGGAAGTTCCAAGTACTTGAAGTCGGCCAGATCGTAACGCTCGGAGAACCACAAAGAATCCGAGCCCGGCAACGTAATGAAGCCGCCAATGCCGATCGAAGTACCCTGAGCACAAGCATCAGCAGCCATGGTAGCATCAATAGAGCGCTGAGGAAGCATCAAACATTCGTGAAATTGATGTGAGCCGCACCAATCAAACCAGAATTGCAAAAGGCGCCTGCTCAGCACAGATAAGCGCCGAAAGCGAGATTGAGGATCCGCAATCCTCATCCATACCCGCTTGGAGGTGAGCGGGACTTTGGCCAAATCCGATTTCTTCCACAGTTCGATGTGCCGAGCACTCAGCAGCTTAGAGCCCACTGGGATAGCCGTGCCAGCTGGAGTGGAGATGAAAACCATCGCATCTGACAAGCAAGGAGCCAACGATCCCCACCGAGATGGCTCAATGGAAAAGGACGTCCCCGGCGGCCTCGAAATGTCCTCGTATAAAGAGGAAAGCCAAGGACGGAGCTCCTTGTGAAGTTGCGTGATCCATTGAAGAAGGCCCAAAGCTTGTTGGATCAGCTTCAGCTCCACTCGGCCCGCGACCAGCAGTGGATTCAGTAGGCCGCGTAATTTCTCCCTTTTAGACTGCGGAACCCGAACTGTCCCAGCCCGATAAGATAACTGCCAGCCTATCCAGAGACAGTCCGAACCCAGTTGTAATTTAGGCCAAGACAACCTGATACCGAAAGCTGCTGCAAAGGCGAGAAGCAGACAAGCTGAGATGTCCAAGGCACCGGAGGCCATGGCTAATATCAAATCGTCCACGTACATGGACATGAAGTGAGCCAAGAACACCAGAAGATGCCATGTTCGCATAAAGAAACCGGAAAGACGCTGCCACCAGTAAGCTGAGCAGCTCATGCCGAAAGGCATGACCCGATAGAAATAGGTCTTGCCATTGCAGGTGATGCCAGATAAACCACGGTCCCGCTCCTGCATGAGAATGGACTTGTGCGCCGCCTTAATATCTAAACTGAAAGTGCGAAGCTCAGATACCTGCCCTCGAAGAGGATAGCTGGATTGCAAGTCGCCCAGGCCCGGCAAGTTGTAACGTTCCGGAATGTGGCAAGCCGGGTTCACGCCAGAAATTGTTTCATCAACCGTCAAGCGAGGGTTTTTGTCCGGCACGATCACGACGTTGAGTTTCCCAACGGCAACCTCTGGCCACCGGGAGCGAGCCTCCTCAAGAGTTACCTCCTCCAAGTAGCCGTTATCCAATTCTTCTTGTAACAAGGATTCCAGAGTTTCTGGATTCTCGCGAGCTCCTTTCCAATTCTCTTGGCACTCCAGCAAAGGTTGCTCCTCCGAAGTTGTCGCCTCCGGCGCCGGAACAAAAACCCCGCTTCTCGGGATGTCCTTGAAGTAACCAGTAGGAGCGCCCGATTGGAGGCAAGCGAACAGAGTGTCGTCGGGATCTTCCAAGGCCTCTGACAGTTGCTGAAGTGCATTGAGAGTGTACGGCTGAAAAGGTTGAACAGACCAGTCCACCGGACGGCCCGTCGTGGCCACCAAGAACTCTGAAAAGATGGCCCGAAAGCTTTCAATCTCTCCCTCCGAGAACAATGGAGAATCCGACTTGGCCAGGACATGTTCGCGCAAGCGAATCGGGGCCTTCAACTCAAAAAGCTTCTGCGTCAGAGCATGCCTGACCTGCTGAAGTCTGTCAACAGTCCCATTAGGGGGAAAAGACCAGTCATGCGCGAAAGGCATGTCGAAGCGACCTTTAGCAGGGATTAGCTGATATAGCTGAGACAGCTGGACATCCAAAGGATTTTCGCATGTCGAAAACAGTGGGAGAGCGGCCGATACATACGCCTCCGCGAGCTTCGCGGGGAACTCAGATGTCTGTTGAGAGGCATAACCTCCGGACTCATCCCGAACCCCTGCAACAGGACGATGAGAGCCCTCAGCATGTGAACAATCCTTGGCCAATCGCTGCATATCCCGAAAGGAGGTAGCGAAAGCCCAGCGTTTCGAGATATCCCAACCGTAAGCGCAAGCCGCTACCACAAGCACATCGGCATTGGCCTTCTGAAGCAGAATGCGGACCGCTTCTTCCAGCCAAAGCATGCTGTTTGCTGGATTTTCAAGGCTAAAATGCCCGCCAGCCTTGTAGGTGGCGTGCAGAAGCTCGACGGCCCGCTCCATCAAAGTCCGGCTGGCGTCCACACGCTCTTGTTCAGAAGAAGAAAGACCTGGGACCCCTGCCAAATGTTCCGGGGTGCGCAAAGGCTTCGGACCAGGCCGGATAAGCTTGCACCTGGAATACTCCCGGCATGGTGGTGATGCATGAGCCGAGGTGACAGCTCCCGAAAAGCTCAATCGCAAAAGAGGTTCAAAAACCGAATCATCCAGAAGATCGTGCTCCGAAGCCAACATTGTATCCACCGAAAGAACAGATACCCCAGCTTGCAAGAAGGCAGACGAGAGTGGCCGAGCATGACCAGCAAACAGATCCAGGAAAAGATTCCCGCGCACCTTGGAAAGATCAAGAACAGAAGGTGGAGCCGGAAGAATCCCTGCCCCAGACAATGCTGAAGCAGCCGTTTGACAAGAAGAATCTGGCAGCGGAAAGTGCAAATCCCGCAGCTGCTGCACGTCACTAGCCGATACTCCCGGCAGTTGGGCCGAAGTATATGCTGTCAGGACCCACCGGTCCCCAGTCCAAGGCTCCGAACAATGTGGTAGAGCCCCGTCGAAAGAGATCCCTGACCTTCGAGTGTTGAAAATGCAACCGCGCAAAGTTTGATCAGCCTGAGCGTCCGTGGGAGGGACCCGAGGATGCTCCGGAAATGCCGAATCCGCGACCTGGATCCAGAGGCCCCCTTTGTCGAAAGCCCCCAAGCTGCAAGAGTGATTCAAAGAGCCTGGGGCATTGAAATCCGAATGAAGATGAGCGAATTCGTTGTGCGAAATGCAGAAACTCGACCATGTCCCATCAGGGAACACTGACTGTAAGAAAAGGTTTACATACTCCACCAACTTGGGGTTTTCCAAGGTGAAGCGACAAAGGCCGCCCAGAGAGCCCGAGCGTACCCCGGCGTTGAAGTAGCTAGCATGGTTCCGGCCACCCTGCAGAACCTTTGTCCGAAGCAACTGAGTTGATCCTGGACAGTGCTGTTGCAAAACTGATAGACATGTCTCCCAATCCAAATCCTGCTGAGAGCTGCTATGCACTAGCTCCGCGGCATCGAATCTGCCTGTCCTGACATCCGAGGAATCATCCGAGAGTCAGTGAGGCATCGCCTTATGCTGATGCGCCGGGCGCTTGCCCAAGCAAGGTCTGCCGTCCGGGCGCGGTACCGGACACAAATGCTCGAATTTGCAATCCGTGAAGGAACAGCCCTTAGCCGAAGAGTAGTCCCGGCACAGGAGACGAGTCTTACCCTTGTCCTCAAACTTCGTGATCCATTTTGCACCAGTTTGACCAGACTGACCCCCGTTCGCACCTCGACCTTTGCCGCCGCCCTTCTGCTTGCCTTTGCCCCCAGGAAGCCTTCGAAGACCAGGTGGGATATCAAACTTTTTGGGTACCGCCACCCGGGACTGGAGTAACGAAGCCATGTCCCCCCTGATCTCCGTGTACTCTGTCAGAGCATCATCCAAGGACCAGCCATGAAGATTGACCAGATCGGCCATCTGGCACCATAGCTGACGATCTGCCTGCATGATTTCCTCAGCAAACGGATTGCGAATGCCCGCCTCACATTTTTGCGTCGCCAGTTTGATGAACTTGCGCTCAAACTTGCGAAGGCTAGCAAGGTGCGCGCCCTGAAGCATCGCTACAGCCACTGAAACCAAGCCCAAGATGCCCGAGAGATAGTTCGCGCCAACTGCTCCAGCTGGTATCTCACGCTGGGGTACGTCGTCGTATATCAGCTCTTCTAACCGAGGCACCTTAGCTGGGCGCCGCAAAGCCAGGGAGTCTTGTTGGGCCTGGCTCATCCTGAGTTTCCACGGGATCCACCGCAGCTCTCCTTTTTGAATGACCTTAGCCACGTAGGCTAGCAACCTGGCCGACGGATAATTGTCGGGATCTAAGATCTCCCCCGGGTAGCGGGCATGAAACTGTTTCTGAAGAGACATCACACGCTCGCCTGAAAGCTTGGGGGGAAACTGTTCGGACCAGCTAGAGGTAGACAACCCCGAAGTGATGTCGTTCTCCTCTTGGCGCTTGCCCTGACGGGATGCTGACGACTGCTGACGGCAAGTCTCGTAAAGCAGTCGTAGCGAAGAAAGCAGAAGCAGGCGCTGAGCAGTGGAGGGCGGTTCCACGGCGCCCTCGAGCAGATCCTTGAGCGCCTCATCCAAAGCTGAGGAATCAGCTGCAATGCAGCCGAAAAGGCTGACATCAAATCCCGCGAGAATCCCATGATAATCAGGCGGGACTTTGCACTGATCTGCCAAGGCCACCAAAGCTTCGTTCAGCAGCGCAGGCAGAGCTTCTGGTTCGCCATCCGTCATCACCCTAGCACAATGGCACTCAAAAGAAGCCAGCTACTAACCTGCATAAAATCTGGTGCCGGAGCCGGCAAGCCACATGAGATCATAAGAAGCAAACTCACACTCGACATCACCGGCCGCAATACAGCCGGGGCCGCAAGGCAGCCGACGCACCCTGACTGTTTGCCCAAGATACCCTAAGCCACCCGGGCATAACCCGAAGTGAATTTCGATCACAGGACAATAGCTCCAACACTGCCGCACGCTGTGGAATCATTTGCCGCAACAACACTTGAACGTACTGCACATTCATGTTTCTCCAGCGCCTTTTCTGACATCCAAAATTGACGCCAAGTGTGCATTCTTCAGTCCCGGATGTGTACCGATCGCCCTTGCGCAGAAACAGCCCCCTCGATGCCCGGCGCGCTTGCCGACGCATGCGAGGATCGCCATACCCGACAGTGCAGTGCGCAAAAGAATATGCTAGCCGACTGAAGCTGCCCCAGCCACCAACCTATGACACAAAAATTGCCTGACATGCTTTATGTCGGCAAAATCTGGGATTCGACGGAAGCTCAGGTCTGATATTCATGTTATGCGCCAAAGTGCCACATCTCGGCTTGACCCGGACAAGCTCACCGTCCTCGCGCTTCACCAAAACCCCATCACAACCGGAGCAGGGAGTAGCAGCATGAATGATGCCAGACGATGTCTGAACCCAAATCTGCTCATCAGATTGCGAGAACCTATTGACTGCCGCCACGAAGGAACCTTTCTTCTTGCCCGAATCCGACGACGAAGAAGATGATGAAGAATCAATGTCTGAATCAGATGATTCCTGCTGTGCCTCGGGCTGAGGATGTGCCTGCGCTTGCTCCTGAGCCGGGGTACGCACTGAAGATGCCGATGAGCCAGCCTCCACCGGAAAGCGATGATGAGCAGGAGATGAAGAGTAGGACAAGACCTTCGGTTCAATGGCTTGTTGCTCAGCTGGTTGCTGACCGCCGCGAGCCTGCGGGTTCAGCGGCAACCAATTGCTACGGACCCGATCCCAAAAGAGCTGTTGAAGGGAAAGTGCTCCATGTACATCATCCCTGCTATAAAGAAGAACGCAGCCATTCTGTCCGGTTCTGTGATGACCTTGAAGGCCTCTTTTGCGAAAAGACACCTGCAGTTGTGCCAACGCAGCCAATAGACAAGTCTTCAGGGAATGTAGAGTGTATGAGGCGGCCTCCGTGGGACTCATGCCAGCCAACACCAAAATCCCCCTGAATGCCGATAAAGCTTGCGCGTAGCTCATGGGTTGCCATTCTGTTGAGCTGGAGATGAAGAATAAAGCGTCTGGCACTGTCTCCCCAAAGCGCGAAACAATTGAATCCCATTCGGAACCCAACAGAAAAAGGTATTTGCACACCCAACTGTGATAGTAGGACCCTGAGTCGCCGTAGTAACCACAAGAAACGAAGCCGAATGGCATCCCCCGCCGGGAGGAGTTTGTTCGATATGAAATGGCCCTCACATTGTCTTGGGCAGCTTGAATCGATGTCCATAAAATGTGTTGCGCATCGGAGAAGCGAAGGCTGGCCGATGCCGAAATGAGAATTGCGCCCAAAAATAATCTGAACCCCACTGAACCCGACTCCAGAAGAAGGGCACGCTCACAATAAGCCAAAACATAAATCGGAAGCGGAAGAGCCTCCTTTCTGTCGGAAGTAATGCGAGCCTCCACTCCAACCAAGAGACCTCCATAGAGATCTGGCAGGGCGAGCCCAAACGTCTTGGCGGCCCAGGGAACCGCCTTCAAACCAATGGTGACATGTGAGCCTGACTTGTGCATAGACAGAAGAGCATCGACCACTTCAAGCTGTCGAATGGACTCCCAGCGCACGTTTAAATCCTGTAATGTTCCCAAGAACTTCAGCAGATGAGCCAAATATCGAACCAAAGTGTTTTCCGACACCGACTTCAGCAGATTCTGCAACAGGGTGGAAGCGTGACGAGACTCCCCTAGCTCCTGCAACACTGAAGAAATCGTCTGTAACCATGGTTGAATCAGGGCCCACAACTTCAAGCACCTCTGCCAGACTTCAGCGTGCAACATCGCAGATGATTTGAAGCCCTCAGGACCCCGAGAGCGAACCCCACCAACCAAATGGAACTGTGCGATGAGGGGCCTGCGAGTCGAACCAGCAGGTGCCAGCCCAGCTGAGTCCACGACAGGTCCAATCGGAGCCTGATGCCTAACTGGTGCATGCCTGAAATAATCTGCAGCTCTGCGAGGGGCAGGAATGGGAGCAGGGGCCTCCCTAATGTAGGGTGCTGAACGTCGAGGTCTAACCGCCGGCTGAGACAGAGGGTTCGGCGCAATCCAATTGCCCCGGGGGCGTCGAGCAGCTTCTGACAAGCGAACAGGATGATCAGCCCCCGAATGCGAGGGACGAGCCACAGTCTGCAATGGCATAAATGAATCGAAAGCCCCAATCACACCTTCGGACGATGACTCCATTGAACGTCAACCCACAGACCAGCTAGCAAAGGGCGCCCCGCTCCACGAAGCGATGCAGATCGCCTGGCCAGCAGGAGAGTCAGAGACATGTGAAGCGTCAAAATGCCAAAGCGCAGTTCCGCATTCCGCTGACCAAAAGTGAAAAGGCAGCTGACCGCAATCACAAGCGTGTGTGCCAGCTCAAAGGTGCCTGGTACGCAGCATGAGGGGAAACCCCCCCTAAGAACAGGCCGCAATCCTAAAGCTGAAGTGCCCATGTGCTCTGTTGGCAGTTGCGCAATCTAGCATGCTGCATACAACACCTGTCGCCTGAAGCATAGGTCTAAGCAACCATGTGCACATGATTGCCGCGCTATGGTTCATTTGAGCCCGCCGATCGCAAAGAAGGAGTTTTCTCACCCCTGACGCAACAAGGGGCAATCAAGCTCGA